GGCAGCTTCACAGGGATGAGCAAGAGGCCAAGGCAAAGAGAAGGAGAGAGCCTGAGCCCAGGAACTGGGGAGAGTAAGACATGCTCTGAAATTGGGAATGGGGGAAGCTAAGAGTTTTTACTGCTATTGCACAACCATATGAAGGGCTCCAGCTGATACTCCTGTGGCTGCTACTCCAGCAAATGAGGCAGCAGGGCTCCCACAGAGGCTGCTGTAATTTGAACATTGCAAATGGTTCCTCCACGTTAGAGCTGATTTCACGGTGGAATCAGTGAGGGTATTCAGGCAACAAGTTATTCTAGGTGAGGTTGCTGTGGCTGTGTATGTCCTCAGCGGCAGGGTCATGGCCAGTTGCTGCTGATGTGCTGATTGATAACTGTAGGGAGGGCTGGCCTGGATCACAAATGCATATTTAAAGCTTGTTGACGTGCCAAAACATGAAGATTACTTTACATAAAAGCCTATTTGTTTTGCCAGTTACTTACCCCTATTAATGAATCTTTTTATCCACCTACACCTGTCAGCACTGAAAGCTGCTGAAAATACAAGATAATAAAAAAGCAGCTGTTGGCAAAGAGCTCCATTTTATTGAAAGAAAACTTCTTAAATTGCTGGGACACATCTAGTATGTTACTTTACTTACAATAAGCAAGTAATCACTTGTCACAGACCTTGTAATTACTGTTCAGAGATAGAGAGGCATGATAACCAGCTCGAACTAGAGATTCAATGCACAGCTGGAAAATGAAGTCTGTGAAACTCTCCAAAGATCTGAAAAGGTGAAAACAAAGCTAGCATAGGAAGTCAGTGTGACATTATGTGTATTATAATTCCAAGGATACCTCCTGAAAATGTTAAGAATAAAAGAGTAATTCCAATGTGGAGCTCCCCTATGACGACTGTTTTCAGGATAAAATTGTTTACTTACACAGTCTGAATTTCCCTTAAAATCTTGAATTGAACACATTTTCCCTGCTGCAATCTTAGCTAAGTAGACTCAAATTTCTGTACAGAAAGAAGAATCCTTCCCCCGATAACTATTCATGATAATTCGGAACACTTGGAAATCAGATGTAAAAATGTACTAAAATGTTAGCTAAAATATAGTTGTACAGTGTGAATTTCCTATCACCAGATGATGAAATCTTTTTACGATATGCTGAGAGTACTGTTCACATACAGAATTTCCTTCTTTTGGCTGATCTAATGGAGCATTTCCTGCAGCTTAATAGGAAAAAGCCATGATTTTGGACTCAAAGTCTAAACACTGCATATGGCTGTCAGATAATCATGGTGTTACTATGCAAAAAGTCAAGGATTGCTACCTACCAAAGTCTAAACACTGCATATGGTTGTCAGATAATCACGGTGTTTCTATGCAAAAAGTCAAGGATTGCTACCTACCAAAAAGGGATGAAGATATTTACCTATGTTGTGACAAATACAGCAGATAATACTCAGGTATAAAGAGACACTATATAAAAGGTACAGTAAAAAAATTCTGAACTGAGTAGAGAACTAGACAATATTAAGGAAAGGATGTTACTAGTGGCTACAGTTCAGGTTACCTATCAATTTTCATTATAAACACCCACCCACCCAAACATTTTCAGTCACATTTAATCTCAAAATTTCACTTTCCAAGCTGAAATGTCCCAGACCCAGTCTCTGCTTAAAGTTACAGAATGTTTGGGCATTTTTGAGGGAGAGGAGAATGGAAGCAAAGGGATGGCTGGGAGTGAAGATAAAGATTTGGCAGCTGTGATGAAGTGGGAAATGTTTGAGTCTCTGTTTCTTCTATATGCTGCGTTGTTACCCCGTGGGGAGAAAAGGACTGTTTGCTTTTGGGACAGGCTAAGAGATAGAAGTGTGGATATCATCTGTTTCAGATTTTAAACCCCATACAATGGACTCCTTGAGAATACAATGGCAGATCCTGCCCAGACGGTTAGAAAACAAAGATCCCAAGGGATATCAACTTCCCTGCCTCTCAGCAAGGAGGCTGAGCAGAGAGGTGTGAGGTGGGGGTTAATGTGGGTTGTGGGAAGCAGATGGAGCACACCTGGGGCCTGACAAAGGCGACCAGATGAACAGAGAGAAATGGAGCTTGAACAATGAGATACGCACACTTCGGCTTGGCTTGGCTCCATGTTAACCAGAATGAACTATTCGTTAACCTTCATTTTTCTATGCTAGCCTAAGGATTTCCTGTGTTGTGTTCCAAATGACTAATAAACCCTATTCTTTTGATGATGCTATGTGGGTGTCAATGCAAATGCTTGGAGAGGTGCACTGATCCCTAAAAACTCTACAAGTCTCCATCAGGACCTGTGTCAGCTGGAGTCACTGACTGTAGCATAGCGTGTAAAGCAGAAGTGTTTCACATCCAGAGCACCAGTCGAAGGAGACAGTATGGATTACCCTGCAGGAAGAGCGAGTTCCATGGCACATTGAAGGGCTTCGTCCTAGAGCAGTGTTTCTTAAACCTTTTAAAACTGAGGAACACCAAGGATTTTTTGTTGAGAAAAAAAAAAAGTCGGGGGGGAAAAGGTTCGGGAGGAAAGTTATTGAGGAATAAAAAGGGTCGGTGGGGGGAAAAGGGTCGGGGGGAAAGTTATTGAGGAATAAAAAGGGTCGGTGGAAAGTTATTGAGAAAAAAACGGTTGCCTGCCCCTTCAAGGGCGGCCATTTTGAATTCTGTTGTTCTCTGTGGCACACCTTTGACTGCCTCGTGGCACACCGGTGCACAGTTTAAGAAACACTGTCCTAGAGGCTACTCAAAAGCTGGGGCCATAGCACGGACACTGCGGATCAGTGACACCTGGGAAACAGCCCGTAGTGAGGAGTTGTAATCTTATGGGCCTTTGAAGAACACAGTATGCATATGCACTGCCATTTCTGAGGCAACTACCTGATGTCCAGAAAAGCAGGAAGCCAGATTGTGCAGAGAGATAATTTTGCTGCATGTTAGAAAACGACTGGAGATGTGATATATGCACTGCCATTTCTGAGGCAATTACCCGATGTCCAGAAAAGCCGGAAGCCAGATAGTGCAGAGAGATAATTTTGCAGCATGTTAGAAAACGACTGGAGATGTGATAATTTTGTGAGTATGCGCCTTCTGCATTCAATGCACTGTAAAATGCAAATTGACTAGAGGAGACTTGCCTCATCCAGGCCCCAAATCCAGCAGAGCACTTAAGCATCTGCTTAACTATTAGCATGGGAGAAGTCCCAGTCATTTCAATAGTAGTAGTACTTCAATGATATTAACTACCTGTAAAGCCCTTTGAAGATTGCAAGAGATGTGAATGTGCTAAATACAATAGATTAAAATTTGATTTTTACAATACTTTTAAACGTTAGAAAGCAAATAAGGGGATTTCATCAGAAACTTTCTAAAGACAGAAAATAAATTTATGTTAAATGTTATGTTAAAGACTATGTTTCCATTGTAATATATTGGGAGTAAGATCAATTATATGGGACCTGTGCTGTTCAACATATTCATAAATGATTTGGAAAAATGAGTGAACAAAAAGATGGCAACATTTACAGACAATACAAAATTATTCAAAACAATTGAGGCCAAAGTTGACTGCAAAGAGTTACAAAGGAATCCTACTAAATTAAGTGAGTGGGACAGACAATGGCAAAAGAAATTCAATGCTGATAAATGAAAATTGTAAATTGTAAAAAAATAGTCCCAACTTTACATATAATATGATGGAAACTAATCTAGCTGTTACCACTCAAGAAAGATTTTGGAGTCACTGTGGATTCTAATCTAGCTGTTACCATTCAAAAAAGATTTTGGAGTCACTGTGGATAATTCTCTGAAAACATCTACTCAATGTGCAGCTAACAGTATGTTAGGAACCATTAAGAAAGGGATAAATAATAAACCAGAAATTATCATAATGCCACTATATAAATACATGGTATGCACACACCTTGAATACTGCATGCAGTTCTGATCACCCTATCTCAAAAAAGATATATTAAATTGGAAAAGGTACAGAGAAAAGCAACAAAAATTATTAGGGATATGTAACAGCTTCCATATGTGGAAAAATTAAAAAACTTGGGACTTAGTTGATTCAGGGGTATATGATTCAGGGGTATACGATAGTGGTCTATAAAATTTTGTCTGGTGTGGAGAAGCTCATATGAAAGCATTGTTTATCCCTTCACATAACACTAGAACTAGGGGTCCATTGATTAAATAATTATGCAGGTTTAAAACAAACATAAGGAAAGCATAACACTAGAACTAGGGATCCAGTGGATTAAATAAATATGCAGGTTTAAAACAAACATAAGGAAATGTGATTTCATACAATGCAGTCAACCTGTGGAACTCATTTTCATGGGATGTGGAGAAATTAAAAGTATAACTGGGTTCAAAAAAGAATTTGGTAAGTTAATGGGGGATTGGTCCATCAGTGACTATTAGCCAAAGATAATCAGGGATACAACCCCATTCTCTGAGAGTCCCTCCAATTGCCAGAAGCGAGGATTGAACAACAGTGAGTGGCTCACTTGAAATTGACCAGTTCTGTTCATTCCTTCTGAAGCATCTTGCACTGGCTACTATCAGAGATTAGATACTGGGTTACGTGGACCATTAGCCTGATCCAGTATGGCTGTTCTTATGTTCTTAGCAAGCAGAACACCAGTAAAAGTCACTCACTCTTGTAATAATAGAGAGGTAGCTGTGTTAGTCTGATCTTGCTAAAACAAAAGGAAAAACTATGTAGCACTTTAAAGACTAACAAGATGGTTTAATAGCTTTCGTGGGCCAGACCCACTTCCTCAGATCATACTCTGGAAGAGAATTGGCATCACCATATATAAGATATTGTATCATATAAGTGTCTCTCATAAGATACTGCAAACGATATTGTATCATATACTGTAAGTGTCTCTCATAAGATACTGCAAACATCACTGCATCTGTCACCCTCTGAAGTGTGTTGGTACCATCTGTATGCACTTACCTTCCTAGCTCTTCCCCAATTTCATAAACGTCTTCCACCTTCTGTTGTTTGAACACAGCCATCCCTAGACTCCTCATTAATGCACCTAGATGATGTGACTGGAATATAAAATACAAAGTTCGTAAATGTATTGTACTGTTTATGAGTAGCACTAACTCAGTTATAGTAAACAAAGAATCATTAAACAAAGACTTCAAACTGATCATTATTGATCTTTTCCAGCTTGTTATGGCCAAAGTTACCATCCACTGATGGTTGTTCTGTGGACTATGTGAAATAAATTTGGTTTTCTTGGTCTAGCTGCCATGTCCTGGTCCTGGAATGTATTGAGTGCCCTTTACTCCTATGGGCTTCTGGCAGCATAATGTACTGTGATGCTACACCCTCATACTTTTATGGAAACATGTTTTTGAATATGAATATGCATAAAACAAGTATCCTATCATGCAAGAGCCTGTGATCCCCTGAATGTGGATTCTATTTGTGTGCATGTATCATTCTTGTAATGAAGTTAGAAATATGAAGTGGAAACCCTGATTAATTTGGGGTTTTGGTCCCTTCCCCTTTGAAGGCTGTGCTCCTGGTAACTGTCAAGTCTCTGTCACTGAGCCCCCAGAGCTGAGTTGTTTTTAGTGTCTACATTGCTTTGCTGGGGACTGTTATACCAACCCTGTGCCTTTGCTGGGGGGAGATCAGAGCTTCTGCCTCAGTAGGACAGAGTGGTGGTGTGGCCCAGTGGGGCTTGGTGGTATGAACAGCATCCCAAGTGAAAGTCTCAAGGGGGTTGCTGTGATCCAACCCATCACACTGATGTAATCATGCAGGGTAGTGTGTGCAGCTGGGAGCTCTTGACGCTAGTGGTGATTTTAAGTGAGTTTTAAGTATGGTGTCTGAAGAATAAAATGGTTATTGGTTTGTTATTTTCTACTTATTTTGGGTAAGGGAAATAAAAGCAGGAAAATCAGCAAAATGAATGAGAGTGAGGCTCAAAAGAAACTGGAACTTTACAGCATCCAAGTGGTAGAGAGGGAGAGCAAATATAAAAGACACATGGAAATGTGGAGATTAGAAATGGAATTGCAAGATGCCAGAGAAAAGGCTGCCCCTGAGAGAGCTATGGAAACCCAGAGGTTAATACTGGAACTGAAGAAAAAAAAAGAGGAAGCCCAAAAAGTTGCCCATGAGAGAGCCATGGAAGCTCAGAGGAAAGCAGAAAAGCATGAACTAGTTGTATTGAACTGGAAGAGTCAGCACCCCAATGTAGCAGGATCCAACTCTCCAAAAATCCACAAGTGGGAACCACTGGGCCCATCTTATGATGAATCTGCAGACATCGCCAAATATTTCATCACATTTGAGAGAGAGGAATCCATTCAATTCCTGAGGCTCAGAAGATGAACACTATTGTTGTAAAACTGAGGAGGAGAGCCCTGGACATATTCAAGAAGATGCCAATTAGTGATCTTCAGACTATGGCAAATTCATGGAGTTGGTTTTAAAACAGTTTCAGATCACACCTGAAATGTACAGGTAAAATTCAGATCCCTTAAAAGAGGGGCTGGGCTAAGTAATGTAGTTTATATTAGCCAAAAGTAAAATCTGTTAGATAAGGGGGTGAGAATGAATGAACTCACGCGCTCTGAAGCCATTTGTGACTTGGATGTTCAGGAACAGTTCCTGGACATGACTAATGATGATGTTATATGTCATTTGTAGGATAAAATGGTAGAAACAGACGAAGCTCTTGCCGTTTATCCTGATCAATTTGAGTAATCCCAATCTCCTGGTCGGGATACATCACAAACAGAGGGGTTTAGGTTTGGCTGGAAGACAAGGTCCCTGCTTTACCCCTGGGAAAAGGAGTATGAATGAGTGGCTGGGTGTTCTCCCCCAGTTCACTCCCCTGTCTCCTACACCGTAAGAGGAGCCCAAAAGGTGCTATCTTTGTAATTCCACTGAGCACCCAAGGGACAATTACCCAGTGCCAACTGGGAACAAGCAGCAGGTAACTCATAGAAATGCTGCTTCCCAAGCAGTGATCACGTATCATACAGGATTTACATAACTTGCAGGAAAGTAGTAAACACATGAAGGCTCTCAGGGTAATTGGACGTGTCATCTCTGTGTGGAAGGATTCTGAGGTAGAAATGTCTGTCTGGGGGGACTTAAAATATTATCCTTGGGAAAATAGCTGAATTAAAATTGGTCAAGGGCCATAAGATCCATGCCCCTTTGGCCAGAGTACGGGTTTAGACAGGGCAGAAACAAGCCGAGCTAACTGGTGCTGCTGTATCACAGAATTTTGCACTATTTATTTTGGGGACTGGCTTTTTTGATGTGGCTGAATCCATTCCAAGGGTTGTAAGCAGTGAGAAGGATTCTTGTGCTGAAATTCAAAGCAGGGAGGGCAAAGCCACAGGGGCTGTTGAGGAAATAAGAGAGTGTCTTTTTAATTCTTCCCCAAGAGTGCGAGGCAATTTGCAAACAGAGAAAGGAATAGAGGAAGCCAGGCCTGGCCCTGTGTCTCTTTCCATGGGGGAGGGTGAATTATTGCTTCCCAAGCTGTAAAATGTGCAAGAGGGGCAGAGGAGCAGGTTCACCCCTGGGATGCATGGGTCATGGAGGACAGCCTTCAGGAAGTGGTGCGGGTCCAAGAAGCCAGTGCGGGGGTTGAGGAACATTGGGCCAACCCAATTCAAAGGGTTTACCCCTTTGATTCATGGTTTACCAGGGAAGGATCTGTCCTGGCTGGAAGCTGTGTGATTATAGCGAACAGGGGATAGATGGCCCAGAGTGGGAAGCGCAGAATGTCTCCCCACCTTTTGCAGGGGTACCTTGGAGAATGGTGCTGGATCTCATCTGTTATCCCAAGCTGCCCAGATGTCATTCAAGTTTTAAATGGAGGAGAGGGAGGCTCTGAGCTCCTGGATGAGGGAGGCTCCACGACTGATTTGATGGAAACAGAATCTGGGGGAACAATGGGAACCCCATTGTCCAAAACACTGGTGTCAGACATTGGGCCGGCAGTACCTATCAAAGCTGACATCATCTCTGAGACAGGAAGGCAAAATCCCACAAAGGCTACCAGTGTTTGTACGTGTACTGACAGACCACCCAAGGGAGGTGGTGGAAGATACCTCAAAACAAGGAAAGAGGATTACAGATTACATTGCCTGGGGTCCAGGTACATTCTTTGCAAGTGTTTAATCTGGTGGAGAAGGGGCTTCTCCATTGGAAACTCTTTGCTCGAGTGTCAGACAAAAGCACAGACTGCAAAAAAAGGGAACCCTGTAGCTAAATTCATACTTCGATATATGGAAGGGTTGAAAGGGGTGATAAATACCACATGACCCAAACGGTTTAAACAGAGGGCATGGTATGGTAACCATACTTTTCCTACACCGCCTATGGATCGACACAAAAGAATCTGGGCATAGTTGCAAAGGCATAACAAACTAGGGATGTTAAATGTCATAAACTGATCAACTAGTTGATGGATTTTCCATCTACTAGTTGATTAGACGATAAGAAGGGGAGCTGCAGCGGGGGTAGCTCCCGGCCTGGGAGCTAACCCCGCTGTGGCTCTGCCTTTTCAATGTATTAAGAGCCGGTCAGGAATCAGCTGTCCTGGCTCCCTCCTGCTCTGCCTTAGCCTCTTAAATGTATTAAAAGCCAACAGGCTTGTAATACATTTAAAAGGCTGGTGCACAGAGGGAGCAGGAATCCACGTGAGCCAGGAATCAACTGTCCCAGCTTGCGCGGGTCCCCCCCGTGGCACTTCTGATTTTTAAATGAATTAAGAGCCGCAGGCACAGCACAAATAACTGTTGTCGGAGGTGAATCAGTAGCTGTTCATCTCTCTCTTTCACTGATAGAGAAAGCAAACTCTATGCGCTTTCTCTGTGTATACAGAGTAAGATGGATTTGGTGGGGGCGGGGGTTGGTCCCTTTGGAAGACTGTGCTCCTGGGTGCTGGAACTGAGCTCTCCCAAAGCTGAGCTGCTCTCAGTGTGTTTGCTTTGCGTGGAGGCTGTTACCCCAACCCTGTGCCTTTGCTGGGGAATACCAGAGCTTGTGGTCCAGCAGGACAGGATGGTCAGGTGCCCTGAGGGGCAGGTAGGCAGGCTCAGGGGTATGAACAGCACATCAGGTGACAGTCTCAGGGGATCTCAGTGATCCAACCCATCACAAGCACCCAGCTCCTGGGCCTTCACCCAGAAAGTGCTTAAAACATGGATGTGCAGACCTATTGACTTAAATGGGATTAGTCACATATTTCCCGGTGCTGAATATGGGGCCCCTGGTAAAATGACTCATATTCAAGTGAGTTCATTGTCAATCAATCAGAACTAGGCAGTACAAATGTTCAAATGAACATTAAATTGACTGAGCCCCTGTTTAAAAGAAACACTGCGCAGCTGGAGTCTTTTTTGTTTACTTTCTTGTTTGCATAGAGAGAGGTGACACACACACATTCCCGTACATCTCTTACCCTACTGACCCAGCCCTCGCTACCCAGTGCTCTCCACCTTCCATGCCTGGCTGGGCCTCCACGACAGACCTGCTTCTCCTGGTACCTGGCACCATGTGGGGGGCACCCAGGGTCACAAGCTCCCCTCCCCAGATTTCTGTGAGGGTTCAAACCAGAAAGTGGCAAGCAGCAGCCTTGCGGCACTGTCCGGGAGGGAAGGGATGGGAGCTGCTTCCAGCTGAAAGGGGCTGGGGGTGGAGGTTGGGATGACCTGGCTCATGTTTTTCCAGAGGGCTTTGGCACACGCAGAACTTGGCTCCTCCTGGCCTGTGCCCTGGGCCAGAGCGTCTTGAGCTTTTCCTGGGTGCCAGCCCAGTCAGAGGCAGTGGGAAAAGGAGCCTGCCAGCCAAGCTGTTGGTGAGCTGAATCATCCAACCAGTCACTGGTTCTTTGCACAGTGCTGGAAGCAGGAGGTATCCCAACGGAGCGGATTTGGAGGAGCAGCAGGCCTGGGGTGTCACCTCAGTCCCCAGAAAAATCATGGAAGGGATCCACAAGGAATCCATTTTGAAGCACTTGGAAGAGGGGAAAGTGATCAGGAATAGTCAACATGGATTCACCAAGGGCAAGTCATGCTTGATCAACCTGATTGCCTTCTATGGCAAGGTAACTGATTCTGTAGACATGGGGAATGTAGTGGATGTGATATACCTTGACTTTACAAAGGTTTTGATATGGTCTCCCAGGGTATTCTTGCCAGCAAGTTAAGGAAGTATGGATGGGATAAACAGACTGGACTGTAAGGTGGACAGAAAACTGGCTAGACTGTCGGGCTCAACGGGCAGTGATGAACGTCTCAATGTTTGAAACATGAGCCAGATCATCCCTACCTCCACCCCCAAGCTCCCAGCCATTTCCTTGTCACATGCCAAAAAGGCTGCTGCTCGCCACTTTCTGGTTTGAACCATGACAGAAATCTGAGGGGGGGGGCTGTGACTCTCTGTGCCCCCATATGTTGCTTTGAGATGACGTGGCACCAAGTACCAGGAGAAGTGGCTGTCTCAGGGCCCAGCCAGGCATGGAGGGTGGAGAGCACTGGGTAGTGAGGGTTGGGCAGGTCAGTCAGTAAGGCAAGAGATGTACGGGATCGTGTGTGCATCACCTCTCTCCATGCAAACCTTCAAGATAAAAAGGTAAATAAAAAGACTCCAGCTACACAGTATTTTTTTTTTAAACAGAGGTTTGGTCAACGTGATGTTAATCTGAATGTTTGTACTGCAGTTGTGTGTGATTGCCATTGGACTTGCTTGATTATGAGTAATTTTACCAAGTGTCCTGCATTCAGCACAGGGAAATATGGTCACCTTTGGCTTTCGTCACCAGAGCCTTCAGACTAGCACCTCTCAAACATGAGCCATTTCACACCCAGGCTCGTTCCCAGGCCCGCTCCCTTCCTGGGAAGCTGGGTCTCAGAGACATGCAGAGGTAGGGCCTGACATTGGTTTGTTCCAGGATCAGCAGGGCCTCACATTGCTCTGTAGTGACAGCTTCTGACTATTTTAGGAGCATGATGGACTTTGAAGAGTGCCTTGCACAAAGGAATGTTATGGCAATCACAGGGCCTTGACAGGATGGTGAGCAAGAGAAGTAAGTGTTGGGTGGTCTAGGAGGAATAGCCCTTACTTTCCGTGCTAGTGATATGGGTTTCAAATCTCCGGGCTGCTGTGGTGACTGGGAATTCCATTTTAGTCTCTCAAATTTTCTGGGTGGAGGTTGACACAAAGAAGAAACCCAAAGTGACAGTTGCTAGTAACATCCCTTAACATGAGATCAGATGCTACAGGGTAGTGCAAGAACGTGGAAAGAACAGAATTCTCCAATGCAGAGGTTGTAGGCTAGGGGTAGGCAATATGAAGAGAGGTTAAAGCGACTGGGACTTTTCAGTTTAGAAAAGAGGAGACTGAAGGGGGATATGATAGAGGTCTATAAAATCATGATTGGTGTGGAGAGGGCGGATAAAGAAAAGTTATTTATTAGTCCCCTAAATAGAAGAACTAGAGGACACCAAATGAAATTAATGGGTAGCAGGTTTAAAACTAATAAAAGAAAGTTCTTCTTCACATAGCGTGTAGTCAACCTGTGGAACTCCTTGCCAGAGGAGGCTGTGAAGGCTAGGACTATAACAGAGTTTAAAGAGAAGCTAGATAATTTCATGGAGGTTAGGTCCATAAAAGGCTATTAGCCAGGGGATAGAAATGGTGTCCCTGGCTTTTGTTCGTCAGAGGCTGGAGAGGGATGGCAAGAGACAAATCGTTTGATCATTGTCTTTGGTCCACCCTCTCTGGGACACCTGGTGCTGGCCACTGTCGGCAGACAGGCTACTGGGCTAGATGGACCTTTGGTCTGACCCA